TAGAATCTAACGAACAGCTCGAACACTCGATACCAGCGCTATCTATCGACGAGAACTTAAGGGCCCAGTCCCTTTTGATTGCATCATACTGGCTTTAACCTGCTGACTGTATGCTTTCCAACGTCCAGGTGCAGCTCCAGCTGCGAAAAGGTTTCGAACACTTCAACACATCCAAACACAGAGCATTCAAACAATGGCGTTGTACTCTCTGTTTCCTTGCTGCCCTTTGAACGACGCTTGACCACACGCTTTTCAGGAGGATCATAAAACCCTTGAGATTCTATGGTTTGAAGGGACGTTTGACCTTGGTGCTTGATATAAGTTACGTCATATGGAATGTACTTCCCTTTACCGATGCCATAACATTTCCAAACTCTCAGACCGATATCTCCATATTCGAAGTTGTGGAAGCTACTAAAATACTCAATCTTATTTGTACAGAGAGTGTTCTTTGATTCGTCTACTATTCTTACTGCAGCTGTTGTTCCCTTCACTGGGTGTTTCGTCAATGCGTATCCTCTGTCCAATGAAAGCTCTAACAACCTCGCTGAGGACTCGCTACAGACTGAAGCCTCTCTGGTTTCGAAAAAGCACTTGCATGCCATACTACACTTGCAGGCCTTCCAAAAAAAATAAAAGGTCAGCGGGTTCACCCGAAATGATTAATGCGGACCTCTTTTATGCGCGATAGTGCAATCGTACAGCTTTAAATTCCAAAACGCCAAACTTCGACACATAGACCTATAAGTGGAGTTCTATGACTGATTCTTGAAGAGAATGCAGCTGCAATCCAAAGTTTCAACGGGACATTAAGCGCGAAACATGGCTTTAGTTTTCGAGTTTAGTTCGCAACAACGAGTCAAAGAAGAGTATCGACAGATGCCGACCGCTGAATTTTGGAGGTATTTGCTGGAGTTATCATAAAGTCCAGTTCACCAGTTTGGGAAGCGAGGAATATCTGAAATTATTTCACATAAACCCATGATTTCTCCGGCTATTGACAGGTTGCTGTTCTGTAGACACAATCGACGCGGAACCGAGAGAAGCAAGCTCAGAATATTTGAAATTGATTTATTAATTATATGATATCAAACTCCAGGTAAAAGCATTTATTCTTTTCATCCAAAATTTTTCTGCCCAAATATTACATTGGGATACAAAACAAAACCATATGGCACCACGTACGGCACATGCTATCAGCGGTCTTCTCTTTTGTGCGGACCTTTGTGAGAACAGTATAACATCGAACTGGATCTAAATTTGAGCGATTATTTCTTCACTTCAGAAGCCTAAAACCTATATTTCTCCCTCAGCTTCCAGACATGGAGAGTTTATATTCTGATTTTGGAAAAAATTCAGCTCTGCAGCGATGTTAAATGGGTGATTCACCGCGAAATGTGGCCAATTCCGGCATTTGTTTTGATACCACGAATCACGATGGATGCCGCCTACTTTTCGAAGGCAATACCTAGCTATTTGTTGAAGTTATCATGGATTTCACCAATCTGGTTATTAGAAAAATTCTGAAGTGAGCCATGAAGCCGGGCTGCAAAGCGGGTAAGCTGTATTTATGACGAAATCTGCTCCAGTGGTTCGATTTTGGTGTAGGCGAAAAAATCGCGAATGCTCGTACATGTGCTGATTCAAATGGTCATAACTTTTGAAAAATCGAAAACGTACAAGGGTTTTTGCATATTTTTGCTTATAAAGGTCTAAACTTAACGGCTGTGTAGGATAGAATCGTCAACCAGGTCCCAAATCCCAAAACTTAGCGTCTAAATCAAGGTTATTTACGGCCATCGGCCGATGGCGATTTCTAGTGGTCAGAATATGCTAAAATTCGCCTTTTCAAATATGTCGAGAGGGCAAATTCTAACTTTCTTGGCAAACTAGAAAGGTTTTTAAGCAATCTGATATAAATTCTGTGGCTTAACTATGCGAATCAAATATTTTACAACGTTACAAAATATGCCTATTTTTCAATTTTTGAGACGTTGCGACGCTCCCTACGGACTGGGAAATAATTATGGCCCGTAATGCAGTCAGAAAATTATTTCGAATCAAACCAAATCTAATTTAGTTCTTTCCTAGGTAAAGTCTTTCTGTTAACAGAGTTTCAGGCAAAATTATTTTTGACGCAAAATTGACCGGGTGGAAATAAGAGAGACAGCCTCTTAATAACTGAGTAGATAACGTAAATAGGCCACCTTAAAGAGTTTAAAAGCTGACGTTTTGAGCGAATGACGAAGGGGTAACGCTCGAAACGTCAGCTTTAAGACATTTTACGGTGGCCAATTTACGTTATTAACTCAGTTGTTAATTCTAAATTACCGGCTAATAGCGGTGATAGCTTTGTAGAAATCGAGGAAGTCGATAGTTTTAGAGTGGTTGAGGTAATAGTTTAAAACAGTGGAAGTGATATATGTACAGTGGTCGAGGTATTAGACCGTTTCAGCTTGTTTCACAGATTTAAAAGCTCCAACAGCAACAATATCATGTATTTTCTAAATTCGTCTTTTGTCTCGGGTTTTGCGAGAGACAAACATTCTACGAGCTAAAATATCAACAGTGAAACATGAAAATTTTGCTATATATGAGAAAATTTTGTCCTCTTTCTAACGTGACCATAACAGCAACATGTTTTTTATCTGTATCTCTGCTTTATCCTTTCCATATTGGCTGAATTTTTAAATGCCTTATGCCAAATCTCAAATAAAATCAAGTTTTAAAGAAATCAAGAGTAAAACACAATATCTGACATCAGGAAAAGCCGATAAAATTTATTTTGGCTTTTTAATGTTTTTCAAGTATTATCGTCTGCTTAATACCACAAAGTCATGGCGCGCAAACGCAAATTTACTCTTTTCAAGGAACTTAATATGTTTTTAGACAGACATTCAAATCAAAATTTCCACTTATGACCGTTAAAGAAGTAGGTGAATATAATTGCACCCAAATAAAGATTCTTCAGTCATGACTCATTATCATCTATTGTATTAACCCGGGCCCCTTACCTCCCACGAGTGACCAGGAGAGAATTTCGCCTTTTAATTTCAATACAATATAAAGCATAGAAGTGGTTGATCTAATATCAAATTTTCAAATTGACGTCATTACAATTGTATGTCAGAGGGTAAAGAGAATTACCAATGAGGTCGTGGGAGTTAATGGATTAAAGATGGGGTATATCCATCGCATGAGTACAGCCTGAAGAGTCTCATATACGAATTTTGTTGAAGAAAATACGAAATCAAACTCATATAGAGACCACGAGGACCAAGAAAACGTCTTTTGGAATAACGCTGTAACTGGCCAAAACACTAATATACATCTACAACTTAACTTTTGTCCAACTACAGAAAACTTTTTAAGTGACCGTGAGAAACTTTTAGCGATACTTTTAATATCAGTAACTTCCCGCTGGAATTTTCCTCGAAAGAAAAACGTGGCCTTGGTTAGGATGTAAAATAATATCGATTTAAGTCAGGAAGTCCTTCAAAAAGAAATTTGTTCTTCTAATGCACGCAGAAGCCATTCAAGCAAGAAGTTTAAGGTGGAATATTCGTAACGCAGGCTGGGTAATCAAACAATTCCCTATCACGACAAAAGCGCACTGAAACGAATGAAAAAAAAAATGCTTTATCGCTCACAAAACCATAAAGTAGAATTGTTGAAGAGCTCCACGTTTAAGACACCTTTTACCAACTGATAAAAAAAGAGAGGTTGCGAGAGAATATTGCGGATGTTGAAGTTGCTACAGGCAAGGCTGCTCGCATTCTGCGGTAGCTATTCTTGATGACACCCAGTCTTTCAAACTGCACATTGCAGATGTTTGCAATTCTTGCTTCTATCATCACAGGAAAATTTCAGGGACTAGAAAGTATTTAACCCGTGACGCCACTGAAATAGTTATCCACGCTTTTGTCACCTCGAAGCTTGATTATTTTGACTCTCTGTAACATGGCCTTCCTTGGTTTTTTTCCCCTAAGTTACAGGCTGTTCAAAATTCTGAAATCTAAAGCTCCTGCGAGACAACCTGGCTCTGACGCCCGAGAGATCGCTTTTTGCCCATCAGAAGGTTCACACGTGCGCAGACGTTTGACCACTCGAGTGTGGTCTACGATCCTCAGAGCACGGGGGCTTTTCCCGAACAACATAGTCGAGTGTAGGCGTGTATCCTTCATGTTGCACGTTGGTTTAATGCCTTATCCTTCCCCTGAAGGTAAGGAAGCAGTCGACATGGAGGGGAGGATGCCGCAGTCAAAATATGTTCCTCATTGTTCTTAATTTGCGCGATATTATCACTGTATAAAAGGCAAACGAATGCCGCGTTTGAAGTGCATCTCTCGAACTCTAACAGCCATGCTAAGAATCTTTGCGGCTTTTCCCTATATTTTCCAACGGTCGCCTGCTCTGCGCGGGAAGTTAAAATATTGGCTGAAAGAGCATCGTTTCTGACATCAATGGAATTGTCCTTTAGAATTTGTAAGGTGATTGCTAATAAATGTTTCCTTCAAAATTATTAGGGTAAATCTGGAACTACATGTTTGTGTCCACAGTTCTTACTCAAATCAATTACATTATTAGTATCATTACCTCGGGTAAACAATACGATTTCAGACAACCAGTCTCTATTTCACTGGGAGCTCACGCGAATCAATATCAGCTGATAGAAACGCTGTTAAAAATTACAGGAAAATGAACAAGACAATACTATGGTATTGTGACAGTGACATGATCTTTCAGTTTTGTAACTCTTCCAGCTCAATAAAGAAAAGTTAGGAAATACATAACAGTACCGGACTTTAGCAAGTAACGCACGCACTAGTGATTAGTTCTAATTTCGAATCGGAACACTTTAACGGTTTTTCTATTTATTAATCTTTTTCGTGGCGACGACTTATTAGTCAATACCAATATATTTGATCGACCTGAGAAGCTGGCGCATAAACTATAATTGGAGAAACAATATTTTTAAGTGTTAGGCGTTTTTCCAGAGTGACGCTTGCATAAAAAAATCCCTTCCCAAGGAAAAACTATCAGTGTAACTTGACCACCTTTCAAAGTTATCTGTCCCTTACTAAAGGACCAACTTAGACAAGGTCACCACTATGAACAAGTTTGTTCTCTTCGCCATGGTAGCATGGTCCACAGTTCTATTTCAGCAAACTGTCGTTTCGGAAACATTTGGGAATGAGGAAGCGAGAGATTTTGGGGCCGAGAAAGAAGTATCAGCCAATGCAGTTACAGATGAAGGATGGGATCTTGATTATCTGAACGATGACTATGACTTCGACGAAGACGAAGAAGAAGAAGAGGAGGAAAATTTTCCGGAAAGGTAACAGCTTCTCTATCCTTTCGCAAAGTAAACAATTTAGTCTTATTTCACTATACCTACATTTTTCAGTCATTCATTAAAAATGTCTCCTTCTTCCTCGGGAATCCGTGATGAGTTTGCTTCAGTTAGCAATGCGAACAAATAATCATGCTGTGTTTGTAAAGGCGTAATACAACAACTAATATCCCTTTCATGGCCCACGAAAAATTCAAGACATGGGAGAAAGGGAAGAAAAAAACCCAAAGAAAAAGCACTAACTGGCTTGGTGGAGAAATTTACTTTTGTTGAGTAAATGTTTGCAAACTGCGGCCGCGTTTCACTCAGTAAATTAAAATAGAAGAACTGAGTTCAAAATCACGGTGACGGTTAGAGCGATATATTGATTGAATTTCTGAGACGAAAATAAATATTTTACAATCGTGTATATTGGTAACAGTTGTCACGTCTGTAAAGCTTGCATTATTAATTTATGCATGTAGCGGTAGTTGGGTGTAAGGATTTTTCGCGCTCCATGCTCATGTAAACTGCTTCCCCCATTCCATCCACCCCAGCTAAATAGGCTATTGTATGTTGCGTTTTCAAATTCATCCGGCGTGGGACGAACGGAGCCCTAAAAACGCGGATGTCGTCAAAAACTGTGTAACCGCGTGGGGTCTGTGTCGAGAACGCCGTGTCCGTAGCCGGGAAAGGTAAGTTAAGACAACGGGTTTCAACGGCGCGACTAACCACTGATAAAAAATATTGTGGCGAGCTTTTTCCGCTCCAAAGTAGCAGGAAATTAATATTATTACAAAGTGATTACCACGGCCACCAATAAAAAATTGGCTCTATACATGTACTAGTATGTCAACCCTTCACCCTTATGAGTGACTAGTATCTAATTTCTCCTAACGATATCAACCCTGAATCACACATTTAAGTCCTGAGATTAAAGCAAATGATCACAAATGAAAGAAGGTATTGATTTTTTAACATATTCTCCTTGTCAGCAGCTTTAGGAAACGTAAGGAGAATAGTTTGGAGAATATGCGTACTGATCTTAGGTTTAAAGGGTTACAGAACTATGACCAACTGCTGATTGATGTTATCCTGTGACTGATGTTCATGAATCTTTTGTTCAAACTGAAAAATTATGTCGTTTGCCAACAGCTTTGTGCAGGAAGACCCAAAACCATTCTGGGGTCGCAAAGACAGAGTGGGATTGCATAAGGTTCGGAGAAATTGAGTCGGAGAATGCCGCGTATAAGGACCTCGATTTCAAGAATCCCACACACAGGAATCCCAAGGATCACAATCATGAGAACAGTAACATCTTAATTTCTTAAAGAAATAGAAGTGAAAATATGTTAATCTGCTGATCTGAAGTGTTTCAGTCTCCGCTTTAAAATGATGTGTACTGAAAATTAATTACTCGCTTGTTGTCTCAGCCGAACGTTTTAATAAAGCACGCTTTACTTCACGTCATCAGAATGACTGGTTACTCTCGCTTTTGCTTAAGATATTACTTTTTGAAATCCAGTAATGAGGATATCTCAGTGTTTCTGCTTAGATATGACCTAATTGAAGCGACGTGTCTGCACGCGAGGGCGAGATGATTCAGTTTGGGAGCGACGCGACTGAGGGCGACATGGTAAGGGAAGCAAAATCAACAACATTCGCTTGTGAAATAAATTAAATGAACAACAGAATCAGTGTGGTATTTCATAACTCCCTTAAATTCCGATTACAGCACAAGAGAGATAACAGTTTGACTCTTGGTCTCGTTAAGAAATAAACGATAACTTCCTAAGTTCTCAAGTTTTTTAATTAATTAAAAGTAATTATAATTTAGACATGTCCGATGGTTGTGATGCTCTGACGTCTCAGAGTCTCCCCTCCCCCATAGGCTCGGAAATAGTTTATAGAATCTCAACAAAGGTGCTGAACACTGTCCAAAAAGGCAGTCGCAGTGCAGGTGTAAACCACGGGATCTCACTGTACGATTACTACCATCATCTCTTGTTTTTAGATTCTCTGTTGATTCGCGCTCCAGCACTGTTGCTTTTCTCTGTTTTCAATGGTTGTTCTCCACTGGCCGAGGACCTGGCTAGGAGGTTGGGCACGGAATGAGTTTTGATGGCGGGAAAACGTACGTGACCCTCTAAGTAAGGAATGAACAGTCCTTACAACACCGGCTTCAAGGAAAGCAAATCTAACTCACTCAGCGTTATCCTAAACGATCCTATTCGCATTTTGCGCCACTCTCCTCTTTGGTATTTTTCAATCCAAGCGTAAGATTTTCCAAATTTTTATGTTATCCAAGGACATTTTTCATCACGTAAAATAAACTATTCCAAAAACCGTGACTCAACTACTCGTGTTCCCGAGATCAAGTGATCTAAAGAGACAAATTCCTCTTTATCAAATCTCACCAATCCTTCTGTATTACTGAATGCTAACCTGACGAAAATGAATTCCTCCTCGGGGAGAGCCCTTCGGGCGACGATTGTTCCAGGGATTGCGAAAAGTGTGGACTGGACTGCGAAAAAAAGCGGAAAGATCTAAGCCCAAATTAAAATCAGTCTCAAGTGATGGAGGCCGCAAAATCATAGAGTGTCACTAGCTAAACAAATTGATCCTTCCTCAACACTATATTCGAAAATGATAGACATAACTTACTATCAGTGGGAGGGTACGTCCGGAGAGAACCACGGGATCCATGTGGGGGAGATTGACAGAGGAGCGATTGTTTCTAGTGAAGAAAAATAACAGATAACATTACTTCTGAGAAGTTATGCCGGTTGCACGAGGAAAAAAATTACACGAGTCAGCGGTGACAGAACTATTATTTTTGTCTTCATTTCACAAGTCTAGAACGTTATCGGAGCTGGTTGACTTCTAGGACTGAATTTTGCATCAAACAATGAATAAAACAGCCAACCATTTGTAGATCGCGAAACTCTACACTCCCTATAGATTAAGAGCGGGCAAAGCGGAAATGTCTGACTCGGACTTTCCGTCTTCTGAACCTGTAACGATGAATAATTTCAAGTCCTTATGCATGTCAACCAAAAAAAACCCGTTTTTTTTTTTTTTAATTTTTTTTTTAGTGAAGATGCACTTAAACCTTTCATTAAGGAACAAATTTGTAACTTGAGGGGTTCTTGATTACATTTTGATACGTGCAGAGCTCCTGTGTCCCACACGTACAAAGATGCATATCTCGCCGTTTTTAAAGCGTTATGAAGCTACATAAAGAACACTCCGATTTCGCACTGTATAGGTTTCTAAAACATGGTTCATTACTTTTGTGGCGAGGTTTTCTTAGCTCTGTTATCAGGAGAGTATTCCTTTCTGTCGGCCATGATGTTTTTCTCTTCGTCTTCGTGAACAACGGCCTGCCTGTAAACCCAACTAGAAGCCCCACAAAAATATAAGGAGTGTTAAAAACTAAAGATAAGAATCATTTCAAATGACACAACGGGACAAGGTAAATTCACGAGGTAGAGCAGAGAAGCGAAGTTTCAAGGTGAAGCGTAACAACAATAAATGACAAAAGTAGTTGGAACGCATCCCACTAATACGTGACCGGTCTAAACACCTCCGCTCAATATAATAAACAGAAATCTTGTAATTCATCAGTGATAAGTTACTTGAAAGCGCCCCTTTCCACCCAATCGTTGTCGTACGAAATGAGCGACCATTTCGTTGACCTCAGGCAACATTTAAATCGGAGAAAGGGGGGAGATAAATGAAAGTTGTAGAAAAAATTCAATAGCAGTAGTATGTGCCAGGACTTTCGCCACTCGTTGTAGTCTCTACGGTAGTAAAAAAGGCTAGTGTAAGGCATGGTGTTGCCCCATCATGGAGAAAACTTCCTTAAATCTTACCTTCGTGTTCCTAAATGCGCTGTATCATTAATTGGTAATTTTCCGTAACCCCATGATCATTGCGCAGATTTATGAGAATTTTAAATGCAATTACTTAATAAAAACAAAAACAAAGCAGAACCATCTACAGCAAAGGTTCAAGATTGGTAAATATAAATGCTTACCTGTAAGTCATTTTCTCTCTATTTTGCTTTTCAGTGGTCGGCGATGTAGAATTCAGATGACTAGCCATAGCTTCACGCGCTGAAGAGAACAGAAAATCGAAAAGCACAAAAGTAACAGGTTTAAAATGGCATTAGACGGTTATCGCAACTCTTTATCAACTCTATATCTTTGTTGAACTCTGTGAAAATTTGATACTAGAGATCTTCTAACACCTGGCCCGCGTTAATCATCTTCCTGCGCTACATCACCCGTTACAAATTTTATTATTCTGATTGTTGAATTTTCCTTCGGGCGATGTGTTTGATCAACAGGCGAAACTGCCAGCCGTTCTCTGGCCTTACTTCACCAAGACAGCGATCAAACGTCTGAGCAAGTGCGAACTTTTTAATGCCAAGGTGGCGCGCTTTGAGGCTGTCAGAACTAAGAAGCTTCACTGGAGTTTTGAATGGCCTAACAAACCTCAAAGTCGTGCTGTTTAAAGAGTATATCTTTTTGATAAAGCTCAAACTGACAAAATTGTAAACAAACAGGATAATTGTAATAATAGTTAAAAACTACCCTAAGGTTCGAGTCTTCCTTTTCCCAGATTTCTATTTCTTTTGCATATTTTGCGTGACAGCGGTAGTCTCGTGCTTTCCTTGGAAATTTTGGGCGGAAAATTGGCGCGCAGGCGGCTAAAATTGATCCCTCCTAGCATTTCCGACGTTTGACCGCTTTGTTTACCTAACCACAGACCATAAACAAATCAAAACGAAAAGAAAAGAAACAGCTACTTCTTGTCTCTTATCAAGCAAACCTATTTCCACACATGAATGTTGCAGCTAAAAGCAAAATCCGAATTTTTCGTCGCCAAAATAATCAGTTTAGCTTTTTAAGTAACAACCCTCACCCGCAAAATATTCCACTCTATTTGGCGGTTGTCTTCTAGTAGGCGGTGGTTTCACCTCCTGTAACTTATTGGTTTCTTCCAGCTTCTTGAATAAAGCCAGACGTTTATTGGGATCTCATGAAAATAGAAAAAAAAAACTAAATTAATTAATGAATAAATAAACTATTCGAGCTCAAGATCGGACCTGGGTGAGGTCTGAATCCTACCCCATAATGAGGGATCCACATCTTCTTTGCCCCTCAATCGTAACCAATGTTTCACAACTTTTTTACAAAACTAAACTTCCAGTGCACACTATAATTTATCTATTTAGCACTTGGCTCACAGGAAAAGCTTATTTTTGCGTTTGTCGGACGTACGCAGGCAGGCTCGTGGCGAACGCGAGGAGTGAGTCATGTGCACGAAGAGAAGTGTCATCCTTTTCGAACCACTCCACTTGCACGAGTCACGCCCTCGCGCGCCCCCCGCGCTTATCTCCCTCTTAACCCCGCTCTTCTGAAAAACGCAAAAATGGCGTCCATACTGCAGGAGGAGAATCTCCTGTAGAAAAACGTAATGTTTAAAAGGTATGTCAAGGAAAAGCTACACAAACCGCCTCAGACGTAGTGGCGGGCTAAACCTTTCTCTTCTCTGAATAAATTTGACATTAAAACCTACCAAGCAGCTTTTTCCTTCTGGCGGGATTATATTTCATCTTTTTCGCTCTTCTCATCATCAGTTCAGCTGTCTCGGAACTCCTGAAACCCCTAAATGTAATAGTGGTAATAATGCTAGGTGTTCATAACATGGGCTTTATTAAGGTTTACAAAGGCCACAATAAGGTGGAGCATGCCTGGAACCTACAGAAATTCAAGCATAGCCCCTCCGTGCAAGACTCTGATTGGCGCACTTATTTCAAACACAATTGTCAGCTAATCGGAGACGATAAATGGATCTTAGTGCGTATATACATGCGTCAAAAGCAGAAGGAAAATTCATCACCTGAACTGAGAACTTATTTTCAGTTAAGCTTTCAAGGCCTTCTAACATGAATAAAAAACAGAATGGAAGAGGGCAACCCTGTCTTAAAACATCAATTACATCCTTACCATTCGCTGCTCAGTTCTTCTGCACGATGTGACAGATGACTTTGCAAGCCAGAAGTCACTGACATTTGGTCATGATCTATGGTTGCCTTGCCAACAGGCAGTTGATTGACATCGGTAATGGGTGAGTCTGCTGAACGCCAGGCGTGACGAGGTTTTGGTGCCGTGGGTTCTGGTTGGAAGGCAGCTCTGGAATTCTTTTCGAGATATGTCTATAAATGAACAAGTATTGTGGACATGATTACCACGTTTATTAAAATTATCAAAGGATAAAGATACGAGTTAAGCATGTCATAACATACTTATTTTACCCTATCTCGTATTTTCCCCAGAATTCCATCTCAGTCAAAAACTCAGTCAAAAACTAGACCCGCGTCTCACTCATACCTTAATTGGTTTCCCAGGTGATTTTAACACTGGTCCCCTTGAACACAAATCAGAGCACTTCAAGTTAGTAACAATGAATTCGGCTTTTCTACACCATTAAAATTTGTTCGCTTAATTTTTTTTAAATTACACATTGGGTTTTCCTAAACAAGTGTGAAGTGACGTTTAGAGAAGACTTATTGCCAGCTCCTGAGCCAAAATCTCAAAGAAAATGGTTTCGCTTTACACGTAAGAGGATAAAAAAATCAACCAAGTTAAGTTCTATACCCATTCCAACGGTGGTAGATTTCTCGTTTTCGAAAAACTTTGCCATGAACCCTTTGACCCCTTAGAGTGACTAACATCTATTTTCTCCTTACAACATCACGCCTGAATCATGCATTATGGTCATGAGAATTAAGGAAATGATCACCAACTAAAGATGCGCTTGATTTTTAAACAAACTCTCCTTATCAGCATCTTAGGGAATGTACAGAGAACACTAAGGAGAATATGCATACTGATGTTAGAGTGTAAAGGGTTCACGGAAAGTACGCATGGTTTTTTACATGGGGAAACAGCCAGGAAAGCTACCACAAAGACATGGATAATCGAAAGAACCAACAAAAGCAATTTGTATTCGATTCTAAAAACAATCGAAAAAAACAGCCATTGATTAGAAGTTGTTACTTTGCCAATCAACCCCCTACCCATAATTCAACAGTTCTAAACCAACGGTAGAACGGTAAGCCAAGTCACAGCTGAGAAACAAACATATGAGCTTTCCTCGCGTAACCAAACAGACCTGGACGGAAGCTGTGGAGTTTCACTCGGTGTCCATCCTTGTTCTAAAACGTTTTCGTCAAAATCGAAAGCCGTAAGATCCACTTCTTCATCATAATCAAACTCCTCCTCTCCTTCATCGTCATAAAATTGAGCGGCCCTCAGAGCTTCATTTAGCCGGCGACGAACCCGCTGACCACGGAAATGCGCCTGAATGAGAAAGAGGAATAATTTGGTCTTTCGGTAAACAAGAGTTGTCATGGCGGGGACTCTGAGGAAATTCACGACCACAAATATTTTTTCTTTTGGAAGAAAGCCTTTAGCATCATATTTAATTACCAGAACCATCCTTATTAATGCGCATTTCAGACGAGTGCCGTAAAACCAAACACCAAGGTTGTCATTGCAACGGCCAGCCATGAGATAGGAAAATAACAAAAGTAGACGATGAGAATTTAAAGCCAAAAAACATGCAAACTTCATGATAAGCAGGAAAGGGCGAGTGACCTGAGGCCGACTCCCTTTGGTTTCGCATCTGTTTTGTCGAAAGGGAAGCGGAAATTTTCTGGACTAATCACAGCACGAAGCAAAGAAAAATGAATGCGTTCTCGGATTACTTTTGATGGTTCATCCATTTCCAATCTTGAAATTAATACCAGTAAAAGAAATCACTCGTGATGCTGTCTTCACCTGAATTATGGTGGCTGCAGAATTTCTTTTCGGATCCCATGGTTCCTTGGGTTGTTTCTTGAGTTGTGAGCGAACCAGGTAGCCCCGCCAGGCTGACTGAATGGTCACAGCTGCGAGCCACTGTGAATAAAGACAAAACTATCGATCATGTTTGACTGTTAACTGAAGGGGAGGAAGAAGTGTTTCGTCTTACATTTTCCTTTGGATGAGAAATCCTTCTAGAAATATCCGAACTGGTTCTCACATCGAAAATTCCCACTAAGGGCACCTTCGCTATTATTCTAATAGGTTTGAATTTGCTGTCCAATCAAATCTACTGTTGGCATTTTTGTAAACTAAAGGTTCCGACTTCATTATCTAATCAACTCTTCTGAGGTGTTTTTGCAGAAACTCGAAAAGGTTCGAAGTTAGTTATCTAATCAATAGCCTCTAGGTTCTTACAAGCACCTACAATAAACCATGATCGTACCGTAAGCCACCACGAGCAAAAGACGAAAGCTGTGAAGCACTTTTTCAAAGCCAAACCGCTGGCTTTAACCCTTAAACTCATATGAGTGACCATGAAAAAATTTATATTTAAAATATCAAAACAGCATCACGCAGACAAGTGATGAGAATGAAGAAAAATATCAATTAGGGGATTGATGGTTGATCCAATACCAAATTCTCCGAACTGCCATCATAGGAATTGTATGCCAGACAGTAAGGAGAATTACTAATGAGATCTTGAGAGCGCAAGGGTAAACAGACGGTTAAATTATTTGCTATATCATCAGTAAAACAATGAACTTACTTTTGTGGTGTTGACATCAATCAAATGCCTGATGTGCCATCCCCTCCAAAGCGCCTGGATCTTAGTAGCAGCCACATGTTGCTGTGCCCTATTTAAACAGATAAGTTCTCACTGATCTGCTGGTGTAAACAGCGACATAAATCGAAGGAAAATCAAGATGAAAGTGTGCACAATTTGACGCGCAGCGCAGCGTGATGCGATATCACGTGACGCACAAGTTGAGTGCCACTCCAACAAAAGGAACCACGCGAAAATAGTCGTCGCATAAAATCCGATGCTGCTCAGAATTCACGTTCTGTCAGATTTGTCGTTCATCAAAATTATCGTTTCGTCAAGTTGGGCGCAATGCCCAAAAACCCGCGCAATACGAAATAAAGGCGGAGTCACAATTTCAAGCTAAATTATCCGCTCCATACAAGTATTTAGTGCAATGGATTATGAAATTTCGCAGTGACTCTAAATTCAGATATTAACTTTATTGTTCAACTTACAGAAGATCTATTGACTGTTTAGTTTTTCCTTCCTTTTCATTCCTTGCACTCGGCTGGTGCAGCTGTGGATGGTGCAACTGTGCCTTCCCTTCTCGGTTTCTGTCGCCGTCCAAAGTTTTCTCTTCCTTGACTATACAACTTGCGTTTTCTGAACTGAAATTTTCGTGTTCAAGCAGGTGTCTTACCGCCAATTCAAATCTTTCCTGGTTGTGTTGACTCTGACATTCATAGAAAACAAAAAAACTATCATTATTATAAACGATAACAACAACCACGACAACAACGACAAATGGAGAACTAAACATTATAAGTAAAGAAATAAAATACCACTTCTCGACCTTCTCATTTATCTTTCCTCAAAAAAATTCACTCTCACATTGCAGAACAGTAGATAGTTAAAAAAAATCTGTCTTACCTTTAAGCGTAGTCTTCTTACAACACTTTCTGGGTTTCTTGCGTCCGTAATCTCACTGTTGGATAAAAATGTATACATATTGATACCTGGTGACTACTACATTACTTACAGTTACGGTAAAAAATTCCCTGAATACAAGCAAGCAGTCCAGTCAAAACGTCTGATTTTAACTCTTGTTATTATGGCTAAAACAAAACCAGTCTAAAAAACAAAGGCACACAGGCGAGTAACGCAATAACCCTGAACCATTTGTTACGTCGTGGCTTCACCGTACACTGCACGTTTTGTTTCAAAGCCTACCCGAGTTCTTTTTCTTGCTTGGCCTTTAAATTATCCTGAGAATGGAGTTGGTTCTGACACATTTCAAGGAACACAGCTTGATTCTCAGCTGAAACCTGCGATGAGAGAAAACGCCAATTGTAGGCCAGAGAGACAACGTAAGAAATCATTCTTCAATGAAAAGATCTATCAAAGCTGTGGAAATTCTTCAGTTTGTTTAGAATTTTTCTTACTCTGCTTTTCTGGTGCGTAATCTCGTCGTCCAAACTCAATAGGTTTGGCAGGTATTCCAGTATCAAGGCTCTGTGAAGATGATGTGATATCTCAGTCAGTGTCAGCTACAACGACTTATGTTCGCAAACACCAAGAATATGAATGTAGAACAAAATACCTGCAGTTAGGATCTTCATAAACAGGATTTTCTGCAGCCTTTAATGTTCTAATTCTGTGGCAGTTTTGTAGCCCGTGGAGAAGACTGTCAGTGTCTGTAAGAAATGTTTATAATAAATAGGTGTGTGGTGAATCACTTCAGATAAAGATGGAAACAGAAACACAGTGAAAACTTCCAGAAGTCGATATCCATCAGACCCGCGCTAGTTTCTCCTAAATAGAGGCGTCTGAAAAAATAACTAGAGTACACACGCGTCAAAATGTTTTGAGACGTTTTCTCCTGGGTGCCAATTCACTGCCAAAGCAAGCTAGACCAAGAGAAAATATCAGTTTTGCAAGAAAAAATGAAAACATTAAGGAGGGGAGATTAAAATGGAAATAAACGAGGATGTTAAAATTGAACATGGATTGCGCACGACCACCTTGGCTAAAATTTTTTTTTCATGCACAATTGAAAAAATCCTTAATGGATATACTGTTTTGGAAAATAAAAAATACAAAATAGCAACAGTTAAACACAATAAGTCTTCGAAACAAACGTAGTTTTCGAATGTAGCCGCCTCTCATCGTTAGAAGCCACTAAAAGTGCGAGGCAAATCAAACAAGTTGGGTTGCAATGTTCATACCTGATATTAGGTTGTTGCTGATATCCAAAAACTCCATCATGATCAAATTACCGAGAGGCGCCAACCGAGATATGCTACAAAAAAACACGAAATATCCATAAAAACCTCAGTAAATTACGAAGACAACTGTGTGACTGAATAAAAATACAACTACGAGCTTGTACAGGTGCTATGAGCGATCACTCGAAACTATCTTCAGAAAGTGCTTCGAGTTCTGAAGTCTCGACTAAAATCAACGGTGTGACGTTATTGGGGTTCTTGTACGGTGTTGCCACTCAAAGGTGTCCTTTAGTAAACAGGAGTGAAGATGAGAACCTGAAACCTAATGAATATACATGAAATACATGATCCTAATGGAGAAAGTTACAAGTAAGTGTCAACAGGTTCAGGAGGGAGGAAAGCCGGAGGACCCGGAGGAAAAAACCCCAGTGATCACAACGGCCGATCAGAACAAAACAAACACGCAAATTCCCTGTAGCGCGGGAAAACGCGGGTTACCACGTCGCGATCGATTTTAGTTTTGCATTTGATTGGTTGAGAGATTGGCGCGAATTTTCTAGATCAGTCACAGACCGTAGTGAGGCAAAACCAATCCAACCATGGATTACTTTCGACACTTAATTGAAATTTGCTCTTACACTGCGTCATGATTTTTTTGGTTCTGGTTTTGCGACACTCAATCGAAAAGGCCTCCATTCTGAGGGGCGAGCGGGTTGGACAACATAATGAGGAATTACAAGAAGTATTCAGAACCCTGCATCTTGTGTAATAAGTATATTCATGGTCCTTTTGTATCTCACCTGTTTTGGCTCACACTGAGAATCTGAAGCAAGGGTAGCCATGCAGTCGACAGTGCATCTAAGGAAGAGATGCTGTTATCATCAAGTCTAAGCTCTCTCAAGAGAACACTGTTTACAACACAAGGAGGCTGTGATGAATAAAAAGAAGTCCCTTCAAAACAATTATCGCATGAAAAAAACAAGTTATCAACGTGCGCATTTTGCAAGATGTAATCTACTCACTTCTAGTAAATTATTTGCTCGAAGATTCAACGTTTGAAGCAGCAGACAGTTGTCAATCTCACTGACACGAGCCAAGTGATTGTGAGCCAGACTTAGGTGCTGAAGTCTTGAGAGGCAATACAAACCCTGTTTAGAAAAAATGCTCAATTACTGACTCTACAGTACTATTGAGAGAATATGGTCTACCAATCGGTCTTTTATCATTTTTTGCCCCAAGAGAACCTTCTTTCAAGGTCGTGGCCCAATTTGAATATTGCAGAAGTTCCATTCGCGAAGCATCCAGCATCACGACATCTTCCGTTTCACATTACCTTAGTGTTTATGAGTTGATTATTATCCATGAGTAGTTTCTGAAGCCTCCTGCAGGATGCTAGATCTCCTGCACAAGAAAGAAACGGCACTATGTTGGTGGACAGAAGACGGTTATTTCTTAAATGAAACATTCGTACCGAAACAACAAAAACCATCAAAACAAGCCAAGAGTCCTTCGTGCAAGGATATCGATCAGTTACAATTGTTAACATAACGGTGAGCAGTCAACTGAGGTCTAGGTTACAGTTCCAAATCAGCAATTGAATGGTCGAAGGAAGATTGTCGACGTATTGCTAATTCACAGGCAGTTAACCGAAAAGAAATAACAATTGTACGCCAAACAACCAGATCCAGAGTGTCAAGAAGACCTTCTGCAATTCTAGTACTTCTCAACGGTAGCGTAACACCTCTTTTTCCGTTTCTCGTAGAACGAGTTCCGTTTCTCGCAAGTCATGACCCATTTCTCATGAAACAACTATATCACCAAGGATGAAATACATAAGGAGTAAGAAACAGTTTCTTCTTCACTTTTCGTGGTTTGTCCAAGGCCCTTCTTTCCTTTACTGTCGCTCGAGGAGGGAGAAAAGCGAGCCACCGCGCGAGAACGAGCGGAAACATGAAAGCAACATCCCTGGCGTTCGCGTTTGTTTAATTTTCTGCGCTTCTTGATTCGCACGCGCAAAGAGTTATGATCTAAAACAAAGGTCTGTGAACAAACTTTAATTTGCTTTGCAAAATTTCACATCAAATTTTGACGGCCACTGGTGCGAAATGAGACTCAGGTTACGAAAAGAGGATATCGCGTCTAACGATATGCAGATACCTTCCCTTTGAACAGTATTCAGCGTATGCAGTGTACGCACCATTAACAGTCATAACATAAATGGTTCTATTTCTTTATTTCTTTTTACCTATTCTGGTGATCTTGTTATTGCTCAAGTCCAAAGACATAATGGAACCAATTCCTTCTAATCCATGGACAGAGGACAAGTTGTTGTTGGCAAGAGATATGTCTTCCAGCTTAGGAAGATCTTTAATGTTGATTGCTTCAATGTTGTTACCCTGAAATAAAAGTGGAAGCAGAAAAATGACTTATCACTTTCTGTGTAACCAGTGTCTTAATTTTGGGAGTCTGTGGGTTGGTTCGTTGATGGAATTTTTGCACACAATGTGTTTAATGTAACCATGACGACTAAATGCAATACTGATGTCTAAGGTTTGGGCATCATGTGCGAAAGGTGTATTGGCTGAGAGACGCACTTCGTTCTGCGACTTCTTAGGACAGTCCGTTTTAACACAGTTTTTTAAACAGACGTTGTTTTATCTTTCTCCACAAGTTAAATAGCGTCTTTGTTTTTTTATAGTTAATCAAACGGATGTTTTATATAGATCATCGATCTGTTTTGTCGTTAATTGGCTGCCGTGGGGTTATAAAGACGACTGGGAACTGACACGGAGTTCCTTACCTGTAAATGAAGTTCTTGTAGTTCTTTGCACTTGTCTAAACCTTCAACTACCAACAATCCGCAGTTTTGAAGTGACAAAGACCTCACTTCTGGACACTGACTAAGCCCTTGCATACTACAGCTTGGAAGTTCGTTGAGTGCGATACACTTCACCTGGAAAAAATTAACCACCCTTCATCTTGATCTAATATTCTTCCCCCAAAACATTCTCACGATTTTGAAAGAAACACCTAGTTAACAGGCTGGTAGCAGTAGCAAACTACTTACTCTATGGAGAGACGTATTGGAAGGAGATGACATCAAAAGCTGTTCTTCAGTTAAAGCAGGAAGATGTTTGCCAGCAGAAAATGCTCTTCTATAAAGAGATAATTCACACAAAAAAATGACAGTTTTTTAGTCGTTTTCATTGAAATTTGAAATTTGTCTTAGAAAGTAATTTGTTATCTGTTAATATCCTTCTCTTTTCCCTAATTATACACGATTACCCTTTCATTGTTGAATCAAACATTAGGTCGTGAACATAAAGGAAACGATTGCCAACCAAGAAAACTCTAGATTGTTAAATAAATTCTCTTCATCAGAAGCACAGCATAGGTACAGTAGTGCAGTAGGGAGAACATGTTTACTGATATTAGAGTGTAAAGGGATGCTAGTGCCATCTAGTTTAATTTTCCCATTTCAATTTCTTCCTATTTTTCCAAACTAAATTTCTTTAATTTCCTCCACAGCACAAAATATTGTGATGTGCCACATTTGAGTTTCCTCTTGCAGCGAATTTCACTGTAAAACAAATATGTATTACCTTGGTCTTGACTTCATTGCTACAGGATGAGTTCTCCCCTCTGAAGTGGATACTGTGCTAGAAAAACCAAAACAATGTTCTGTTTGTGGCTTTGCAAACTAATTTTCAGTCAGTAAGGTGTTGGCAACTTACCATCTGATACATTTTGCATATGAATGAGCATGCTTCAATGAGTGGCAAAGGTACATGTTATTAGCACCCTTCCCCTCAGAAGATGGTCAACAATTCTCCACCACACATAATTAACAGAAATCTTGTAATTCATGTGTAATAAGTTTCTTGAAAGCCCTCCTCTCCCCAAAACTTACACTTATCCCCCTTTCCCTCTCCCTTCTTTCCCTCTCTCTCCCCCCCTTGCCTCTCTCCCCCCCTTTCCCTCACTCTCCCCCTTTACCTCTCTCTCCCCCTTTCCCTCTCTCTCTCTCTCCTCCCCCTTTCCCTCTCTCTCTCTCTCCCCCCTTTCCCTCTCTCTCTCTCTCCCCCCCTTTCCCTCTCTCTCTCTCCCCCCCCTTTCCCTCTCTCTCTCTCCCCCCCCTTTCCCTCTCTCTCTCTCCCGCCCCCTTTTCCTCTCTCTCCCCCTCTTTCCCTCTCTCTCTCCCCCCCCTTTTCCTCTCTCCCCCCCTTTTCCTCTCTCTCCCCCTCTTTCCCTCTCTCTCTCCCCCCCCTTTTCCTCTCTCCCCCCCCTTTTCCTCTCTCTCCCCCTCTTTCCCTCTCTCTCTCTCCCCCCCTTTCCCTCTCTCTTCCCCTCTTCCCCAAACAATGTTACCTGGTGGTTTCCACTGTTTGTTTGACCCTTTAACTCTCAAGATCTGACTGCTAATTCTCCCTTCTCCCCTCTACAAATTTCTTCATAAATTAGTTGCAATAATTTGGTGTTTGATCAAGATATCAACTTCAACTGGATAAGTTTGAGTATTCTCATCACCCATTTGCTGGATAAAGTATGAATATTATAGAGAGAAGTTACATGTTAATCACTCCCGGAAGTTAACACCAGCACCAGGAAACAACAAAATAGGTGAGAGGGGAAAGATAACTGCAAGTTACAGAAAAAATTCAAAAGATATTAGAGCATGCTAAGACATTTGCCACTTGTTTTTCGTTTCTGCAGCAGCTTGAGAATGCATGCACCTTTCAAGTTAGATCTGATACTTGTACAAGTAGTAATTTTAATCACTTTTTTTAGCTGGTTTGCAAACATTTGTTGTGAAGAACATACTTTCTTAAATGCTGAAACATCATCAGTGCTGCAAAATATGAAATTATGTTCAATTTACCTCCAAGGAGTATGTTCTTTTACCCACTGCAGTCTCCTTGCCTCTAGTTCTTTTGTTAATGCCAATCTTGTTGAGAGTTTTGTTTCTTGTCCAGATGTGTTAGCCCGCTCCAATAACTTTTCCCTTTTCTCTTGTGGGATTTCTTTGTATAGTGTTTCAGACTTCTGTTGATCTGAGAATCCTTTGGTTTCTTGCATTAGTTTTTCATCTCCTTGAATCCTCTCTCTTTCCGTTTTCTCTTTCTCCTCTTTAGTTTTCAATTCTTCCTCTAACACTTTCCTCCTGTGCTCTTCTTTGAGTCTTTCCTCTTCCTCTCTTCTCTTTCTTTCTTCCTCTTTTCTCATATTTTCTTCCATCTCCCTTCTCTTTCTTTCTTCCTCTTTTCTCATATTTTCTTCCATCTCCTTTTTCTTCCTTTCTTCCTCTTTCCTCTTGTTCTCTTCTGCTATCCTTTGTTTCTCTTCTTCAATTTTCTTTTGTATTTCTTCTCTCTTTCTTTTCTCCTCTTCTTCCCTTTTCTTTCCCTCTTCAATTCTCTGTTGTTTCTCCTCTGCTTCTCTCTGCTTTTCTTCTTCCTCTTTCTTTTTCCTGGCTTCTTCTTTCCTCCTCTCCTCTTCCTCAATTCTTCTTTTTTCCACTTCTTCCATCTTTTTTTTCTTCTCCTCTCTTAACCTCTGCTCTTCTTTCAGTTTCCTTTCGTTCTCCTCCGCCTCTTGTTTCCTTCTTTCTTCTTCTTGTCTCAACCTATTTTCTTTTTCTTCCCTTCTTCTCTGTTCATCTTCAAGTTTCTTTTTCTCAGCTTCCTCTCTCAGCTTTCTCTCTACCCTTTCAATGCTGTCAAGTTCTTCATTTCTTTTCTTTATCCTCTCTAACTTCTTAGCTTCCAGTATTGGTTGAAACTGTTTCCTTGTTCTTAATCAACAGATGATTCATAGAATTATTAATAATTAATGCACTTTGAATATATATCTTTGAAAAAGCAATTTACAAATTCCAACCTTACAGCTACGATTATACCTAAAGCCTTTGTAAAACTTCTGTAGTTTGGTAGCAGCAACTTCTCTCTTCCTAAGTTGATATTCCTCCTCCTTTTTCTGTAAATTGAGTTAGACAAAACTTTAATATGGGCAGGAAGTACAATCAACATTGTCATTAAGATTAACATGTTTTGCAAGATAAATTTATAATAATAAAAATAATAATAATAATAATATTTTGAGAGGAAGCCTCCAATCACCTGAAGGTGGTTTTCAGGAGGGTCCGCATAAAAATTTAAAAAATAAATTATATTAAAAAAGCTAGGACTAAGACTACAAGCTTAAGTTTAAAACTAAGAACTGAGACTAAAAATACTAACTAGAGGTTAAAATAGTTGAATAGAAAAAGTTTCAGTATGTGATTAAAAATCGTTTTTGGCATCAGTCTCTTGAGCTCACTCCACAGTGAAGTCCAATCATCGATTGCTTTATAATATGTTTTGTTTCTGCCCCATTCTGTTCTTGGCCTGCTGACTTTGGGCATGTAACCATTTCGGGTATTACAATTTGTTATATCAACTGCGTTGTTAATGTGAATTGGCCACCATCTCAGATTTTCATATATCAAAAATAGAGTACAATCTTCGTACCTTTGTCTCTTCCAAAGCTTCACTCTGTTTCCTTTTCTCTTCCTCTATTGTCCTAATCTCCATCTACAGTTTAATCAAATGAAACCTCTGTAAACACTTCTTGGCAATAACTTAACCCTTTAACTCCCAGATCAAATTTGTAATTCTCCTTACTGTCAACCATACAATTCTTATAATGTTAGTTTAGAGAATTTAGTATTGGATCAACTAATTATCCCCAAATTGATATTTTTCTTTATTCTCATCACTTATCTGGTTGATATTGTATTGATATTGTATTGATATCCCACAGCAAGATTCCAAAGCTAACTTTTCTACTATTGGCCCTTTGTTAAAGAAAATTGTGGGTAGTGTGTAGTTTACATACAGAAAAATTGAGCATAGAAAAACTCTTATTAACCCTTTAACTCCCATGAGTGACCAAGACAGAATTTCTCCTTACATTATCAATACAAAATCAAGAAGACAAGTGATGAGAATCAAGAAAAGTATCAATTAGGGGATTATTAGTAGATCCAATACCAAATTCTCAGAATTAACATCTGAAGAATTGTATAGCAGACAGTAAGGAGAAATACTAATGAGATCTTGAGCCAGTCATGTTGATCTATTGTCAGTGTTACCTGGAACTGCTCCTCCATTTTTTGAAGTTTCTTCTCTTCCTCCCTGGCTTCTGCCTCCAATTTAGCTTTGAGAACCTATTAAGTGGAGTACATTAAAGTTAATATGAGTACACAGACCTTTGGCAGCTGCTTCACACAAATCATAAAGCACAACATCATTAAACCTGTTCTGTATTGAGAAAAATGTGACATCTACCACGTCATTTGCATTACACAAGTTAGACATGCTATGTTAGTTTGCACAAGCTTCCAGACTTCAAGTCACTAACAAACCTAGAGAACATGTGTTTTATGGAGTGTACCTCTTGTTCCTTACGTAACTTCTCCTGTGAAGCCTCAAACTGTAATTGTCTCTCATAACGAGCTTCTTGTTCTCTTTTACGTCGTGCCTCATCTTGTTGCCTTCTTTCTTTGTACCATAACTCTCTCTCCTGATCTTTCTTGGCTTGTTTCTCTTCTAAATCTCTTAACTTTTGTTTAGCATTTTCCTCAAGGGCTTGAATTTCTTCAATGATGGCTGATAAATGATTTTAAATCACTGAAGTTAGATTTACAATAACAGACATTTGGATATGTGTACTTCATGTATTTTCTTGGGAAAAAGAAATTGTGCTTGTAAATAAGGTGACCATCCCAGAGAAGTGGCCATAAGTAAGGGTTCATGTATAAAAACATCTTAAAATTTATTACCTGGTCTGACAATATCCAAGGCAAATTGATTGTCTTCTTCATTCTTGTTGTCTCTTGCTAACCTCTCCCTTTCTTCTTTTAGTTCTGTTTCTTCAAGTTCTGACAAAACCTAATAAATAGCAACAAAATGCAACTGGTTGGTATTCTTTAACTCTTTCATTCCCAAGATGTCATTAGTAATTCTCCTTATAATTGTCATACAGGTCTTATAATGTTAGTTCAGAGAATGTGGTACTGGATCAATTAATAATCTCCCAATTGATATTTTTCTCTATTCTCATCCCTTTTCTACTTGACATTGTATTGATATTGTAAGGAGAAATTCTGTCTCGGTCATGCATGGGAGCTAGAGGGTTAAAGGAGCAATGGTGCAGTACAATATGGCTGCTTACTTACATATAGATGTACCAAAAGCATATTCAGGATCAAGGAGAAGATGTGCAATACCAAACAAAAATTGCAAGACTTGCCTACATTTTAAGAACCTTTGCATTTCTCTTGTAAATAGAATCAATCTGCTCACCCTATCTCTAATGACAAGAGGATTTTCAGAATAATCATCACCAAGTTCTTCCTTTATTCTCTGCGAGAGCAAAGCTTCATCTTCTTTCACTGAACTCCCTGTGGAGAAACATTTACACAATGTATGTGCACGTACCTATATTCACATCAAATACAACATGTGACAAGATTTCATTGATGTCTAGCCCCTTTACATCAGCTTCATCCTGTGTAAAAATCACCCTCTACTGAATGCAAGGGTTCTCAGAATAAAAACTCTGAAAGTTTGTTAAGATCAAGAACAAACACACTTGACCAAATTTAATAAGTTACAAGAATCTGTTAAAATATCTCATTTAAGCAACAGCTTACAGACAACATCATATTCTAACATACCAAGAGGTAACTTCTCCAAGATTATCTCACATTCCTTCACTTCTTCTTCAGCATTCTGTGTCCGTGATTGAAGAAGTAGCAGATATTCCTGGATGGAGTCTGGAAAGTCTTCCCCTTGAGACTAAAATCAAGAGGGAAACATATGAATCAATACTCAAATGTTTCACTCCCAAGATCTCAGTAGTTCTCTTAACTGTCTGCCATACAATTCTTACAAAGTTGGTTTGAAGAATTTGGTATTTGATCAACTTATACTCTTCTAATTGATATTTTTTTCTTTATTCTTTTCTGCTTGATAGTGCATTGATATTACAGGGAGAAATTCTGTCTTGGTCTCTCACAGGAGTTAAAGAGTTATGTTAGCTAATTAACTAATATTTCCCATGTTTTTGAACATCTGATTAGTAATAGATCACAGATAAAGTCATTTTTACATCATCTGCAGTCTATTGTTTAACAGACACTCGGCAGCATAGAATATATTTTTTTTATGTAACAACAAAACAAAAATTTTTCAATGGTGAAGTCATCTATGTGTCTGTCCTCCAAAAAATCAAAGGTAAGAACCAATCTTAGTGCGGGTGTGATTCATCAGCTTATCATATAACACACTCTAGTGAGCAGTTCCAGTTTTTAAGTACCTAACGAACTGAATTCAATTTACAGCGTTAAAAACCTTTTTTCTATTCAAACCCACCTGCATAAGCGACTTAAACTCGCACAATAAGAAACAATATGGTTAGATTAAACTCGTTTATCTTATCATGCATAATTAAGCTCTGCAATAATGAATATGATCCTTATGTTTACCAAAACTTCTATTTCCTTTGCTTGCTGAGCATAACCGTATCTGCTGTGTATTTATTTGCAGTGTACTGGAAAGGCAAAAATCTCGAATTTAAATCTAATAATGAAATTACGATCAAGTTAAGTCATTAACCTGTTCAGTTTTGACACAAATTAAAACTGTAAATTACCTCGTCTGTTTCCAAAGTTGATGTCTCATCTTCAACATCTTCGATATGCAAACTGTCATCTTCAAGGGCGTCGAGTTCTCGCTGAATTTCAGCTTCAATGTCTACTTCATCGTCATCTAAGATGCAAGTCATCCTCTCTGAACAAGACACATCATTACTTCGCTCTTTTTTTCTCGTAGAACAATCTTTCGTTCATATCAAAACATCGCCGTAGCTACCATTGCATTTGAGTTACATGACATCCCTCATCCTTCTTCACTATCCCCGCTGAAATCCTCGCTGGCTCCAAATTTTTACTACCAGATCTAACAACGATCGATATTGGTCGGGAGAGGATTGGGAGGGGTAACGTACGGTTGTGGCGCCAAAAAGATTCGTCTCGATAACGTAAAAAAAATAACAATTGTATTGAAGAAACTACGAACTTCTTCATGAGTAAACTAATTTTTTATCGTTTTATACCTAGAAAAATAGTGAATCAAGAGTTCCAAAAGCGATTGTTCGTGCGCTTGTGTGTGGTACAACGAAGTCCTGTGAAGAACTGTTTCCGGTTGATAACTTTGATGAGACTTTGATGATGTCTTTTCTGTGATTATTAAAACGTCAGTCACTTTCATCAACAGCATTCCTAACGCTCTCCACGATCGACTGCTGCCTTTGATGTCACGCAACACTTTAGCAGCGGGGGAAGAGAGCAAATGATTGAAGCGTCGCGTGACATGCCATAGAACGGTCTATTAATCTCTTTCTGTTTAACATCTTTCTCTACTATTTAACAAGTCTGGATCCATAGGTTTTATTAAAATACATGCGAGTCGTTCCCGCGAGTTCTTTGTGTAAGTTTATATACGTAGCTAGTGCATGAATGGTTCAAAACGTTTGAGTTGATATTTAGATTCTTTTGAAAGGTATTTAGTTCTTCACCATTACTTGTCCTAAAACAGACAAAATTCTATATTATATCGACATCATAACTGATGCCGAGCATTTCCGATGCCGGCTGAATTGAACTTGGATTTGTATCAGATGCAGAGACGAGAATTTGATTTTCTCGCAGCAACTTTCGTTACCGATGTTTAAATGTAATTCATACAAGGTTTGTAAATGGCTATCGCAAATAAATTGTAGCGTTGCAGGAAGATCCACAGGAGTCCTTTCTGATCAAGAAAAGGTTGTGTGATGCTCTCTTGGCTGACACAAGCCAAATTTCGCCTTTGGTTCCATAATTCAGTTTCTCTCTTTCTCCTTATTTTTTTTATTTATTTATTTTTTTTCACTTTTTTCCAGTCGTTTTTTTTTTATCACTGCACGATGCTAACTCAATTTTAAATTGTTGAGAATAACTTAAAAATGTAAGTGTTACAGTTTTTTGAATCCATTATTTAGGATTTCTCCCCTTTCTTTTTTCTCTTGTGTGTACGCCAGGTTCTTTGTATTACCTCCGCCGCATTGAAAAATTTCCGAATTTCCATTCTTCTCTTTTTCTCTTCCCGACTTTTGAGAAGAATCACAGAGGTGAAATTTGGTTCTTCTCCAGCCTTGTTACCTGTTGCTTGGCCTGATCCCACTTGGTGAAAATTCTCCAAATTTGTTAATTTATCTTCTTCGTCGTTGTGGTCAGAGTGATCGAGTGCGACCGAAACTCTTTCGGGAACCGTTTCGTCTGGAGGTAATGTAATGACCCGATCCTTCTCGCTGAGATTTGCAACGTGTCTGTCCAATTCCAGAGGAACACTGGAAGAGCTCCTCGACACGTTAGGTTCATTATTTGGTGGTTTTACTTGCTTTTTTGACTCTGTTCTCTGGATACGTTTTGTTCCACGCAAGCTACAAAATCCGTCAGAGTCTATACGACGTGGAAATGTCGACTTGTGGTACAAAGCACGGTGAGAATTACTCATGTATTGGACAAGCGGGCAAGCTTTGCTCGCATTTTCCATTGTTCTGCACTTCACATCTCTGCTGAGTGATAATCTCTTGCTAGAATCTCCTCTCTTGGATAAAGAACTTTGAGAACAGGAAGGCATTCTCCATGTCTGGTGTGAGCAACAACTCGGCGCTCTACTCGACGCGGTGGGTTTGCCTCGGAGAACTCTACAATGCGAAGAGGAAGTAGACGAGATTGAAGAACCCGGTGGAGTACGGCAAAGGTATCGTAAGTCACTTTCTGGCTTCGGTAACGTCGTCGAAGACGGCCTTGACAAGCTGGAATCGTAAACGGATCCAGAGCAGAAGCTTGCAGTGGAAGGCACTCGCTGGTGTGACTGTGTACACGATGAGAAAACCAAGCTTTTCATCTGCTCTCTTCGCGATAACAATTTTTGACGAGTACACTGCTCTTTGAGCTTTAATTTCTCAACAGTATTAGCTGGTACTTGATGGCACTGGTTGGGCTTAAAGACAAAAAAGAAAAGTACAATTTACAATTGATGGAGTCGAAGGTAATCCGGAATACCATAGAATAAAGAGGGTAAGTTTCAAAAGAAACTCTGGTGATGCGTCGGTGAGGGGCGGGGAGGGTTACAAGATAATTTGGTTTTTGGCCACCGTAAGAGCTTCTAAAGCATTTGCATTATCAACTCAATAGAAAAAACCACGCTATCTCAGATTACGCTGTATGAGTGGTCCAAAAAAAAACAAGAAAACCAACCAGTTTTTATGTAACAGGTATAAAGGAGAGTGTGAAATAGTTGCGAGAAGTTTGTCCCTAACTTGCTAAAAAGAAAGGGTACATGTTTCCGAGAGAAATCGGAGCGCGAAGTTACACAAACCAAGACAACATGCATCGTTTTTCTTTCTGCATTAAGTTGAAATTTTCTTTAGTTCAAAACAAACAAAACAAACAAACCTGGGACAGCTGTCTGGCTCGTTCTGTGTGTTTCAAATCAGCAAGTTTCTTTATCACTGAAGACAGCTTACTCTCCACATGACGCTGCATGAAATACGAGAATAATCACCACTTTAAAATCATTGTGAATGTGGTTTTCAGTACATTTTATCTTTGGCTTCACCAGCTTGAAACTGAACAAGAAATAGATGCGTTTAAGAAACTGTCTCCTTGAGGGCTTTTTTCTCCTCGCTGGAATGAAGAACGCTGAGACCTCATTTACAACAGCTGGGGTTAGGCTTAAAAATTATGTTTCATTGTGCAGCACTTTTACTTATTGTTTGGTCAGTAACGCTCAAAAAAAAGATACGCCCGCGTGTAACTGGGTCCATTTGTAATCTGATCTAACTGATAATCCTTTAATCCCTGGGTGTGACTAACAACTAATTTCTCCTTACAGTAGCAGTGCTGAATCATACTTTGAGGTCAAGAGAATAAAGGAAGTGATCACCAACTCTTGATTGTTACACAAATTCTCCTAGTCAGCACCTTAGGCAATGTATGGAGAACTGTATGGAGAATATGCATATTGATGTTAGGGTGTCGAGGGTTAAAAGGAGAAGACAGAGATTCGTCAAGCTCTCATAGACTCCTTATCTCCTTCGCCGCTGTTCTTGCACCAAAAAAGGAGTGCGATGTAGATGATGGATTAGTCTGAAGAGTAGGCGTTATTTCTTTTACGTTTCAAGACGGATGTGAGCAAACGCGTAGAAAACGCGAGGGAAGACATGAGGGAAGGAACGTATCTCGATCCTCGCGTTTGCCTCGTACTTTCCTCGAGCTTGCTTCGCACTCCCTTCACGCTTGTGTACCTATGCCTGAACTCACAAAATGACACTTCTGCAGAGCAACGTTGAAGGTTGTCTTATGAACGGGTGAGTATTAATCTAAACTAAGGTCCTACGTGTTGTAACGTTTTTTTTTCCAATTTCTTATTCATTAGTTCTCTAACCTTCTTTTTCTCCAATTGAAACTCCGCGATTTTCTCATTTTCTAATTCTTCCGGAGGATTGCCTTGTCTCGACATCATGACAAGACGGGCGCGCTGATCCATCAACCGAGACGTAAATGTTTTGCTTTTGTCCCTGCGATTTATCAAAAGATAAAAAAAATCAGAAAAATTTGACACTAGACAAGAATAAGTAAACGGTAAGCATGGAAAGCGTACTTGAAAACCAAACAGCGTGTGGGTCACGCGACACGTTTAAAGAATTTGGGCACATGTAGGTTTGAGTTTCAAGTAATTATCTTGAAAAGGGCACGCTATTCAGTGTGTAGGAATATTTCTGACAAGTTATTCTGATGACGTTTTACTTATGGAAATGTTTCAATAAAATACAATTCCTTTTGTTCGTAAGTTCGTATGATAATGATGTAAAATGTGGAGCTTCCCTTCGAGGGAGGCATTATTGATTCAACGAACCGCAAGCAGTATTCCAGAACTCACCAAAGCGTCTCCCTCTCAAGTTCGAGCTCAGCTATCGTTACATCTTTTTCTTCAACTGGCTGATCAGTCCCGACAGACGCGTCCCTTTGGTGGAGTTTCCTTCTCTCTCGAATTTTGTGCAGGCTGGTCTGAGTACAAGGCTGACCATTTTCAGGCCCCGGCCGCTGAGGGGTTCTGTAAGGGTAGTCTGGAGAAGAATATTCCTTTCCATCGGTCGTTGGTCCCTCGTGTTCGGTGGTGAAAGAAATGCCACTTTCCTGGGTGGTAATACTTTCTCTGCAAGAAAGTATTCCTAGTCAGGTACTACAATGACATTCTTCATTAAGACATCTCTATGCAAGAGACACTTTCTCATCCCGTTGGTTCCACAGGATATCGTAAATCAAAGCTTCCTGCAACAACCAAGGTAACAAGCCCAGCAAACAAAGAGAGTCCGTAGAAATGAAAAAAAAAACTGTAAAAAAAACGAAGGGACGAAGAAACGAAGAAACGAAGAAACGAAGGAACAAGGAACGCAGTGCACTAAGGAAAAAAAGCAAAGACGGATTTCAGAACGGACAGAAGGACAGGAAACAACGCAATGGGCTTATGATCCTAATCAGGTGTCACAGTCTGACCAATGGCTCCTTCCTTTAACAGAATTCAAACTACTATCTGCAACAACATCAATTGACACACAACATTCACGCAGCTATTTATTTTTAGAAACAAAATCCATAATGATCGCACTTCGCCACAGTACCCCCCCCCCCCCGGCCATTTAAAGCTGAAGATTCCTAGAAAACAAAGAGCAACATTGCACAGGGATAAAATTAGTTCGCTATTCCAGAATATTGCGGTCTCAGTGGAATGTGGCAATACTTTTGTGGCTGATTGCATGC